AAAAAAAAAAAAAAAAAGAGGCTTGAGATGTAATTTATGTAGTTTAATCCCCAGAATTGAAACAAACAGGAAAAAGAAAGCAGAGCCCTGTAGGTTGGAGACTGAGGTGCCAGGCTTTGTGACCACAGCCTGAGATCCTCACCCCTTCCTCCATCTAGGCTGGGGTCTCAGCTTCCCTTGGGGAACCACTCCTCAACTCTTCTCTGGAGCTTCTGGGGAGCTTCATAGTGGCCCAAATGGCCACCAGGGGGCACTGACGCGCCCACACGGTGAAAAATTAAGGTGTTCGCCTAGAGTTGCAGAAAACCAGTCGCTCTGTGGGGGTGGTGGTGCTAAAACACGTCACCCATCAACCTCAAGCTGCCAAGAGATTTCTTAAAATATAAATAGATCCAAGAAAGCACCTTTGAAAAGGTGTCGCTGGCGAGTGTGGGTCCTTATTTTAGAAGAAGTGGAGATTAAAGCTAAAGTATGAATTTGCAGGGAAGGAGCTTTCACTGGAGGGTAAGAGAGGAGGTAGGGAAAGGACTCCAGTTTGAGTGGCTGAGGCGGCACACTCAGATGAAGAGGATTAGGAGGCCGGCTGTGAAGGATGACGGAGGTGGGCTAGGATGCAGCCCATCACTATTTTAGTCCCGGCTGCATGGGGATAGAGAAATCCTCCTGGCCGAGGGGGCGGTCCTGTTCGTCATGAAATGATGTCTGTGACGGTGCCTGTCACGTGAGGCTCTGCTTTTCCTCTCGGGTGACCGCAGGTTCAGGACAACAGCTGGAGACTTCTAAACTTTGCTCCAGGGAGAAGGGTCTACGGCTGGACATTGTAAAACCTAGCAATCGGAGCCACCCTGAATCCTGAGAATTATTCTCATTACTCTTACCTTGGTGCCCTTGTCTTGAAGGGGGTTAGGCTAGGGAAATTTAGGGCTAATCAGCTCTGCTCTACTGATTTTTCTTAAATGAGCAATGTACCTACATCCAGTTTTAAGGTAATAAAGGATGCAAAAATGAACATCAGGCTTTACTTTTATTTACTTATTGGGCATTTTGTAGGCCCAAGTGAAGAGTTATGAAATTCATTTTTAAGTCTCTGATTATTTCAGGAAAAAACAAACCACAAAGTGTGCTTTTAATGAGTAACAGGTTAAGGGCCCAACAGTTTGTCCTTTGTCCCTGCAGTGGTCTTGAACTATGCCATGACCATGTCAGAACTAGCAAACCAATCACCTGGGAAATGCTCCAACCATCAGTCCTGGTCCCCAAGGCCCTGGCAAGGCTGATCCCAGCAATGCTGTGTCGGTCAGAGCTGCCCCACCCCAATTCTCATGTGTACAGCCCTCTCTTCCCCTCATGATTGCTCTACTACCTGTGGCATTTGGAGTGTAACATGAGGCTTGGCTCATATATTGGTTTGTTAGAAATGTACAGTTACAGGAAGTGCCTGTAAATTTTCCTTGGCAATGGTGAGCTGAAAAATGTGTTATACCTGTGTTTTATGAAGTTTGGGGACTCTGAGGGAATAGGACCCACCCTGGGGAGTCTGAACAGATATAAACATATCCTGGAAGGAGGGGGTACTGAAGAGGGCACCATCTTGTCCTGGGGGATGTGAAGGGACGTGGCCCTATTCTAGAGGACCTGGTTTACACTTGTGCTTGTATTAGTCCATTTTCCATTGCTGTAGCAAAATGCCCAAGGCTGAGTACTTTATAAAGAGGCTTAGTTAGCTCATTATTTGGAGGCTGAAAGTACAAGATTGACTCCATCATTCAGCCTCAGGACCCTGTGTGGATAGGATCACATGATTAGAATACAAGCCGGAGACCAGGGAGGGGACAGAGCTACTCTTTATACTTACCCAGTCTCTCGGGATCCCATGAGAACAATTTAATTTCTCCCGAGGGCAGCGTCTCCATGACCTAATTATTTTGTGCTAGGCTTCACCTCTTAATGGTTCTGCCTTTCTTAATCCTACCACCCTGGGGATCAAGCTTCTAATATGCGTACCTTTGGGAGACAAACCATATTCAAACCGTAGCAGGGTATTAAAAGCCAACGGGCAACCGGGTGTGGTAGTGCCTGCCTTCCCAGCACTTTGGGAATCTGAGGCAGGAGGATTGCAAGTTCGAGTCCAGCCTGGGAAACTTAGCAAGACCCTGTCTCAAAAATGGATAGACAGATATAAAGGCTAGGGTTCGATACCCATTACTAAAAAAAAAAAAAATTCAGTCTACTAGGAAAATACAAACATGGCAATCATTCTGGGGTCTGCGGGCACCATCCCTGTCTTGGAGTGGAGGGGCTGGGGAGGTAGTGAATTACTCAGCCATCATTCACTGGTTTTGCCAGGGTTCTTTGCCAGGGTTCAGAGAGCCTCAGTTTTCCCTCCAGTTCCCATCAACTTTGCCATCCACTGCCAAAGAGCTACTTCTTGGAAGTGCCACAGTCACAGATTGTAGGAGCCAGTTGGCCACTGACAAAGCAACGCAATGATGCTAAAGGCCAATGTGAAAAACAGATTTATCTGCTAGAGTTGTGGATCATGAAACTGTGACAGCAATAACTTTGTAATACACTTCCCAATTTGTTTGTACATTTCAGAGGTCCATTCTAAGATGGGAATGTTCAGCTTAGGGCGAATCTTGAGTTTAGCACTCAGTCAACGTTTGGCTACAACCCTATTTGTGGCACTCTAAATTATATGGATATGAGTAAACATAACTGAGAATATTTTGATTACTTCCCAAATGCCAGGGACTATATGGGAGCTTTCTGCATGTACTTTCTCGAGTTCAGGGGTGTTTTTTTGGCGGGGGGTGATGGGGATTGAACTCCGGGACTTCTCACTGAGCTATGTCCCCAGTCCTTCATCTATTCATTTGTCTTGAGACAGGGTCTTGCTATGTTGCTGAGTTGCTTAGGCTGGATTCAAACTTTCAGTCCTCCTGCTTCAATCTCCCAGAGTATTAGATTACAGAAATTTAGGTGTGTGAAGGTGGCTGCCTTAATTTTTGCTATTCATTAATTCATTAACTCGTAGTTTTTAATCTATTATGTGCTGGCTGGAGTAGTGCCTTTGGGAAGCCACTTTGAGGATGGAGTCCCTCCTGCCCAACTCTGTGCAGACAGCTCTGCGGATCTCCAGGGTGCACAGAGCGAGCCCTGACTTGCTCCCCACACACTTCTCCAGGCCAGTCCTTGCTGTGCTATGTCAGTACTAGCACCCAGTACCGGTCACAAATGCCCAGGGACAGGTTTCTGTGGCTGAATCCCCATCATCCCCCGCAATGCCCAGCGTTGGGCCCTGAGCTGCTGTTCATCTCCCCAGGTCCACATCTTGGCCTCCCCTTCACACTTGTTCAGCTCCCAGGAGGCTGTGAATTAATCTTTAACCAGCAGGAAGGAGAACTGGCAAGGTTCCCAGGAGGAGAGGCGCTCTGCTCTGCCGCTCTCCCTCAGCCCCTTTGCTAAGCCAAGAAGCGCTGCAGTTTCCCTGTCCGCGGATGCTTCACCTCTTGCACTTGCAGTGCTCTGCTAATGGGGGTGGAGCTCCTGGGGGGCCTAGGTGCCCGTGGGAGAGCCCCATCTGCCTCCCCCTTCCTCCTGCCCCTCCTCTTGCTCCCAGGCCTGCCCAGCCTTAGTCAGACGGATGGAAACCAGGATCCCTGGCAGCCTCCCGGTCCCTGGATGCAGGGCCAATGGGCTGGTGGAGCAGAGTTACGTCCCACCCTGGCCACCCAGTACCTGGGGCCACCAGGAGGATGCTCTGGCTCTGCGGTGGGCTGCGGTGGGTGGGGTGGCTCTCAGCTGACCCCTCCTCTCAGGCCTGCAGAAATAAGCTACCTGGAGTGAGGACAGCAGAGGGAACCCGTCATGCTTCTAACCCTAGAGAGGGGATAGAGATGCCGGGGCCTGTCCGGAGGCCCCCTAAAGGGACATAGTGCCCTCAGGGGACCTGACCCTGCACTAAGGGACTGAAGGAACAGGGCCCTTCCCTGGAGGGCCCGAGGGGACACAGCCCACCTGGGACGATGCAGGTGGGGCAGGAGAGCCTCGGTGGTCTTGGTGTCCCCAGCCTCACCCCTGTACCCCTGTGGGCTGCAGCAAGGGGACAAAGCCCTTCCTGCGGTGACGACAGCTGCTCTAGGAGCTGCAGCTCCTGGAGCCCTTTTCTCCGTGGGTCACACACAGTACTGCCTATGTGAACCGCTGACTCTGGGTCCCAACCTGACCTAAACCTCACCTTCCCCCATGTTGCTCCCAGACCTGGACCCCTGCTTGTGGCTGTGTGGGACGGAATTCCCTTTCACGGGACTCTAGGCCCCCAGGTCAGGAAAGGAGCGGCAGTGAAGACCAGGGCTGAGAGTGTCTGGCCCAGCCTCTGAGGAAGACCAGCTCTGATTTCTGCATAAACGAGAAACACCATAGGGAAGAGAAATGGAGACAGAAGCGGAAGAGGGAGAGAAAAAGATAAGGGAGAACACTTGCTATCCCAGCACTCGGGGATGCTGAGGCAGGAAGACAGCAAGTTTGAACCCAGCCTGCGAAACTTATTGACTTAGCAAGATCCTGTCTCAAAATAAAAAATAAAAAAGGCTGCAGATAGAGGTCACTGTGAAGGGTTCAATCCCTGGCACTAGGGAGAGGCAGGGAGGAGGAGAGACAGGAAAACAGACAGCAAGGAAGAACAAATGGGTGATAGGAAGAGAGGAAGAGATAGACAGGGAAAAAGACAGGGAGGCCCAGCAAAGGAGGTGCAGAGAACACCAGCAGGAGGAAGACAGTCAGAGGAAGAGGGAGAGAGGGGGCGGAAAGAGAGAAAGAGAGAAATGGAGGCAGAGACGTGAAAGAGAGGCCGCCATCGGCTCTGCTGGAGGCGGCCTCGGACAGGGTCTGAGGACTGACCAGAAGCAGCCGGCTCCACCAGCAGATGGAACCCAGCTATGAAGCTGGGCATCATGGGTGCTCCTGGCCTGCCCAGGACTTGCGGCTCCCTGCCCCCAGCCCCAGCAAGTGAATGCCTTCCAGCTGGGGCTGCCTGTGGGTGTGACCCGGCCTGTTCCTTTATGCCAACATCCAATGGACCATGGGTGTGGCCAGGGGCAGGAGACCCCTTGGTGGCTTTAGGAGGCAGGGGCAGGGGCCCGGTGAGTGGGGAAGCCACGGAGGCTGACCTTTGAGTCTTTGGGGAGGGTGGGAGATGGCGTGGCTGACCCTAACCTAAACCACCGGGGTGGGCTTCACTAGTGGCCACCAGGGGGCTCCTTCACCGTCCCTGGCTCCAGGATCTTCAGCATCCTGAGCGTGGCAGACACCAGCAGTGTGACATCCCGGGTGCCAAGGCTTTCTCTGGACATCTTTGCAGTCCTAAATGGCTGTGCCTACCATGGTGAGGTGGTGGGGACCTTGTCCTGACCTGCCTGCTCCCACATCCTAGTCCACAGACTCCAGCCTTTCCCTCTCCAGGACCCAGGAGCCAGGCTCCCAGCCAACGTCCTTAGATCCCTGCCCCTCCTTGTTCAGGCTCCAGATATCTCCATCCCACCCCCACTCTGAACAGCCTTCTCCCTGCGCTTCGTTTTCTCTTCCTGGAGCAGCAGCTCCTGCAGCCACAGGTGCCGCTGTGAGCAGGAAGGCCAGGTCCAGTGCTGGCCAGAGGGCTGCCGGGTGTGCCCTCTGCTGCGTCACCTGGCCCCCCGGGGCCACCTGTACACACTGTCCAGGTGACAGCTGTGGCTCCAGCCCTACCACTTCCTCCTGGCCCTACTTCCCGGCATCTGAGTGGAAGTGGAGCCGGGCAGGGGGGCCCTGGTGCCAGAGGCCTGGCCCAAAGGAAAGGGCACGGTGGTGAAATGGGATGATCTAACAGGATGTGTGGTGGTGAGTGAGGCCGGAAGCTGGGCTAGAGGACAGAGCTGGGATAGGCACACGGAGATGGGTGGGCACAGGATCCTCTGGCCATGGGCAGACAGAAAGAACAACAGGCAGAGAGAGACAAGAAGACAGATCATCAGGCAGTGGATAGGAAGACGGAAGGGCTGGGCAGAGGGACAGGCAGAGGGTCAGAGATGGAACCACTTGAGATGACTGGAACAAAGACAGGCAGAGAGAGGGACAGGTGGACAAAGGGTGGGCAGATGGCAGACCACCGGGATTGGCCCAGGCAGACAAGGTAGACATGACCAGATGTGGTCATGGGGAGATGACCGCTCAGGGCCTCAGCAGTGCGGCCCTCTGGGGCCTAGCTCCCATCGCCATCCTACCCTGTTGCTGCCTTTGTTATAAAACTCAGCTGTGCCTCCCTCCCTCAAGCTCAGTGACTCCAGCTCCCAAGTGACCTCAGTGGCGATCTACTACTCCTGCTGCTCTGTCCACATCCCTTTTCTGGGACTACTAGTACTACTACTCCTTTCCCTCGAGTGCTACTCCTGCCTCCACAGACTGCACACAGCTGGCCTCCGTTATACCTGTGACTACTGAAGGCCGATCCATCCTCCAGTCTGCCTGGAAAGGGGGCAGCGAGGGCTAAAGAAAAACAATAGAAATAATCTCATAATCCACGAAGGGCTGGGAGGTCAGTGCCTCAGAGCGGGCAAAGACAAAAGACCCTCGGAGTTATTTACTGGAGGGCGTATAGCACGGTTTAGGTGAATCACAGGGCGGTGAGGAGAGCAAAGCATACTTAGGATATAGTAGGCGGACCTTCCTCCGGGTGAAACCTTTTCCTTTCAGTACTACTCGCTCTAAAGAACCAGGAGGTCTTCAGCTGATGTAGTCTCACCTTGAGTGTCGCAGCATCCCAGGACCATTAAGGCCTCAGCTGTGACCAGAGGCATGTGGGGTTACGTTTCCACACACTGTAGCTGGTTCACGGGCTGTCACTAGACAGCCCTAATCATGTTTAATTATGAAATGCTTTCATATGTAGAATGGCTCTCTACTGTGAACTTCGCTCATACTTTCACTGGCCCCCACCACTGTGACCTGTTCACGCCTTCTCTACCCTGGCCAGACCGCTTGTCCCTGCGTCACTCAGAGCTGTGATGACTCTCTCCTCCCTGTCACTGGGCAAACAGCCATGGGATGGCCACGAGCTCCAAGGCCTCTGCCTCCCAGGCTGCTCTGGTGTGCAGAGCTCTGTTCCTTCCTGGCTGCAGCCACCCCGAGACTCTCCCTGAGTCTCCCCTGAAACTCTCTGCTCTGGCTCCCTCTGTGTCCGGGCTTCTCAAAGGGCGGCACCCTGACCAGCGGCATCACCAGGAAACTCACCAAAAGACACATTTTTGGGTCCCTCTCAGACCACCACTCTGAGAGGGCCCTGTAGCCCTTCCAGGGACTCTCATAGACATTCAAGATTTTTGTGTTTTGTTTCATTTTCCACTATTGGGAATTGAACCCAGGGCCTCTGAACTCAGAGCCCCAACTCTTTTTACTTTTGCTTTTGAGACAAGTTCTAAGTTGCTAAATTTTGTAGGTTGGGCTTGAACTCCTGCTTCAGCCTCCCAGAGTGCTGGATTACACCATGCCCAGTAAATATGCTATTTTCTATTGGCTCCTCATAGTCCAACAGACTGATTTGTCCAATTTAAAGCACCTTCCCCTGGATTCCTCACCCCCACCTGGCTGTTGCCCCCAGGGGGGCATCTGCTGCTAGGTGTGGGAGGGCAAGGAAGTGGCTTGCTGCCTCATTTAGAACAGCCTGGTGCGGACCAAGCATTATGCCTCCTGCATGCTGGGGCCTGGCACAGTGGAGCCCAAAGATCAGAGCTGGGAGTCAGAGGCCCCCATACTGCACTTTGGACCATGCTGCCTTCAAGGCACAGGGGAATTGCTGCTTTGTGCTGAGCCGCAGGGGCTCCAGCCCTAAACATGGTGCGCATTGAGTATCTCAGCCCTACAGCCAGAGGGACCAGGGCTGGATGCACCAGGATCAGTGTCCATGGGGTGACAGTGACGATGGAGGTCCAGACTCTCTGGAGTGGACGGTGAGGGCAGGCTCAGACTTGGAAATCTAAGCGGGGCAGGTTCCTACCCCAAAAGTTCTGAGGGAGCTCGCGCCCAGCTGGGGGTGTCTCCAGCCTGAGGTGACATGGGACTTGGGCCCGCTGGCTGCTACACCTGGGTGGTGGCCTCAGTGGTTCTGGTAGGGCTGTGCACCCATGCTGGCCTCCGCGTCCTGTGCCCGGCACCTCCACGTGTCTTTCCTGGTGTCCTCTACGGCCTGGGTGGGAACTTTAATAGGGACCCCCAAGACCACTTCCGTGTCCTCGATGGCTCCTTCCTGCACTACAAGGCCTTTGTCCTCAGCTGGAAGGACCCAGTGTCACAGTCCCATCCCTTGCTCCTACAGTTCAGGGAGGGACAGTACCAGTCTCTGGCCTTCTGTGTGCAGCTAGTGGGCTGTGACAGCCCTTCCCAGACTGTGACGAGCCAGCCAAGGACCAGGTCCATGTGAAGGACTCTGTGCCACAAAGGTGGGTGGGAGGCCACTTGTGGCAGATCCTGGGTGAGGTGCTGGGGAGCTATGCCCAGCAGTGTCAGCAACTTGGCCTCCCCGTGCCGACCTTGGAGACACCTGGTGGCCTGTGGTGAGCGGCAACCTTGTACACTGCCTTCCCCTGCACACGGGCCAGCATCCCTCTGCTTGCTTGTTACAGAAAGCCACATCGGTCATTGTGATGGCTTGCATAAATGACTCAGGCTCTGAGTGGGTATTTCCGGCCTGGCTCAATCAGGTGCTCAGAGCCCTGCCTCCATTTCTCCGAGATACCTGCTATCAAAATGGCTCCATATCCAGGTGACTCCCCTTTGGCCCATCTGGCAGCCACTCAGGTTTCTGCTCAGCAGGAAAGAGGCCTGTGTGTCCTGGCAGCCCCAGTGGAAGGTCACCGTGTCTCAGTGGCACTGACTGGCCGCTTCCTGAATCAGTTGTGTGGCCAGGGAAGAGGGTTCTCCAGTTGGCTTTAGCCTGACCTGAGGCTCTGGCCGCGGGGACATTGGCCGGCTGACACTGAGATGAAGTTAGTGGTAGCGATGGGTACTGGCTGGTGCCCAGAGGACAAATGTCCATTTCCCCTCTCTTTGCCTTGCCACTAGCTGATCTTCATCAAGAGCATTAAGCAGACATCCAAACAGATTTTTTTTTTTTTTTTTTTTTGGAGACAAGGTCTCACTATGTGATTCAGGCTGGCTTTGACCTCACCGTGATCCTCCTGACTCAGCCTCTCAAGTGTTGAGATTACAGGAAGGTGCTACCACACCCAGCTACCCAAACAGTTTCGATGGAGGCCCTGGTGTGAAGTGCAGTAAGTCTGAGGAACTGTGTTTGTTTCTTGTTGCTGCTGTAGCAAATAGCCAGGAACTCAGCAGCCTACAGTAGCCCACACCTTCTCACGCTTTAGTTCTGCAGGGCAGAGGCCTAATACAGTTCTCAGCAGGTCAACAGCAACATGTCAGCAGGGCTGGGCTCCTTTCTGATGGCTGGGGAGGGTCGTTTCCTTGCGCACGGCAGAACCTGTTCGCGGGACCCGTGACAAAGCTGCAGACATCTCTGGGCGAGCTGTTTGTTACTCAATCTGTGTGTACACCGAGTACAGAGTGTCCCCAGCTAGGGCTGTGTCCACTTGAACATTTTCCATTGCATTCTTCTCTATGCCGTTACTTCCATAAAGTGAGGAATGTCCTCGCCTGACTGTGTCACGTTGAGGAAGGGACCACAGAGCCCAAAGTCAGGCTGCCTTGGTTAGAATCCCAGCACCGCCACTTTCTAGCTGTGTGCTCTGGGTTCAGTTTCCCCGTCAACATAAAAACAGAAAGGATAAGATAGTATCTACTCTGCGGAGTTGTGAGAATCCAAGAAATGAACAGTTCTTGGCCAGACAAGTGAATGTTATAACTAAGTATTGATTCTTGTTAAATTTCAACCTTCGCAGCAGGGAAAGACACTCTGTTTGCATCACTCTGTCCCCCAGGTCAGAGCCGCAGGATTCTGCAAGATTCTG